CTTTGAATCAATCTGACTGGATGATCTGGTGAACTGGAAAGTGACCTGAGATGACATGATGTGAATTGGAGCTATAGAAATAAACTGAATTGAAACGTATTTGAATCTAAAAATATCAAATATATTTTAGATTTAAGCATACATATGAAATTAATACAATTTAACCTACAATAACTTCAATGATATCATTGTAGCAGGTCATCAAATCAATTCAGTTTAGTCTGTCCAATCTGCTGCCTGTAGTGTATTTAAATGTCCAGCAGGTGTCAGTATTCAGTGGCTTCCAGATGCCTCATTAAGCATCACTATGGTTCAGCTTCTTGCTTCCCTGAAACTGCTGTTAACCAGGTTTGTTCTCTTCATGAAACTCTTCTTTTTGGTTATTTCTGGAGCCCAGATTGCTGAACTTATTGCTTTAACAGAAGCCTGTGAGTTGTCTGAAGGAAAAGCAGTGACTATTATACCGCTTTTGATTTTGCATCACCTTGGAAACATCGTTCATTCTTGAAAGAACAGGGGTGCCGTACTAGCTGTGATCGGCTCAGCTGTTTCACCCAGTCTGACAAGAGGAAAAACTCTAATAGCTGTCTGTTAGTAGCTAACTGACGTTTCGTAATTCTATCCGTTTAACAAAAAAAGAAATAAAATAATTCCTCATTCAAAAAAATTTAGTGTTTAAAATTCGATGTTAAAAAAAAATTTTGTGTTTAAAAATCGGTGTTGAACAAAAGGCAGCTTCCAATGACACCGTTTTTCTTCCATAGACACTCAACAGGCTCCGTTTTAAACTTTACTAAGTTCAAACGCCTTTAAACCAGAAACCAGGTTTAGTTCAGAGCTGTAATTTTCCACTTAATCTAAAGAGATCTAAATAAATGCAGATGCAACACTTGAGCTAGATCAAAGAACCGGATCAGGGGGGGTTGCTCAGTGAACGCCCTCGTAGTCCTGATGAAGCTCTACTGGGGCCACAAAGTTTGATCAAAAATAACTTTTTTTTTTAAACAGAAAAAATGCTTGAAACTTAAAAAAACAAAAAGAAGCTTAAAACTACTTTTCAAATGAAAGTATTTTGACAAAACTATTATATTGTTAATGCCATTCTAAAAAAGTTAAAAAACAATCCACTGAACTTTGTTTACAAGTTTAAAGAAGTTTTGCTTGAAATGTGGCTGAATAGGCGACGTCTGCGGCTCCCCTGTAAAGGGGTTACGTTGCCATGGCAGCGTGATCACTATCATGGCAGCTCAAACCCCTTTACAAGAGAGCAGAAGACCTCACCTATTCAGCCAGGCCAACTATTCCCTTTAACGACCCCC